TGCAAAGTAGATGAGAACTAAAATGACACCACCATATAATGATAGAAACCCAAAGATAAACCTCCAACCAAGGTATTGAGTTAAATAACCGCCTATGGTCGGACCGATAACAGGACCTAATAAAGGACCCAAATAGAACCATCCAAAAGCGCGTCCACGTTCTGCATATGAATTACGATTATTAAAATACATTTCTAATAATAGAGATGACGCAAGTCACCTGAAAACTAGATAACTTACCTGTAGTAATAAATATATCACTTAAAGTTCCAGCACCAATACTTATGACGGAAGAGCCACCACAAGCCTGAAAAGAACGCATAACTAACAATAACCAAATATTATGCGATATAGCGCATATTATTCCTGCAATGACGTATATTGAAAGGGATATTAAGTAGACTCTTCGCCTTGTTTCACGAGCATCTGAATATGAGGCCCATCCAAGTGGCTGCAAATAAATAAATTATCTGTTGGCCATTTTTTTATATAACACGAATATTACAAAAAAGAAAGTAAAGAAAACACACTGCAATCCCCATGAAAAAAACAAAAACGGAGACTAAATAATTAATGTGAAAAGAATAATTAAGTTATTAAACCATGTTACCATTAGATTAATTATTGGATTTGACTCGAATAATTTGCATAACTCGAATTTTTCAGGTAATTCTTTAACTGGCAAGCCATTAATACAGTATATTACACGATTATCACATATATTAATAAACTTGCATTTGCTAATTAGAAAGAGTGGTATTTGCTTAATAAATGGTAATTTAATCAATAATATCCACAAATTAAAGAGTCTTTGTCCATATGATTGTCTATATTCACGAAAAAAATTTAAATTACTTTAAAAATGGATTGAATCACAAACTAAAGTAATTGATTTTTTTTATAACTCAAATAAAACTCGAACAAGTTAACAAATCAAATGATTTGAGTACTCTGAGCTTAATTCATGAATCACAAGTTGATGAGATTCGATTACCGAAGAATTTACAGACAGTGCTTAAGGGCAGTATAAATTCACGTAATTCACGCGATATTGTTAAAAATTTGTCTATTTTATCGCAGTTTGCATATTCGATGTAACTTTAATCAAATTTGGGTCGTCTAAAGCGGAGCAGTATCACGTGATATATGACTAATCAAATTATAGAATTTTGATGAGAAATAAAATCGAAAATCCTGAAAAATACAAAAAACGGTAGTCTAAACCTACCTCTGGTGGGTTAATTAAAAATGTCGGGAAGGCAATTTTGCTTATATGTAACAACAGGCGGAAACGTTGATGCTACACACTGATCATTCACCCGGTGTGCAACATATAAAAAAATTATTTTACAATACTAGATCATTCCGCTAGTACATGCTATGATTATAATCCAACACCATTTTATTATAATAAAAATGGTGATGGATTATAATCATAATATGTACTAGCAGAATGATCTGGTAATTTTTCATATGTTGCACACCGGGTCGTGCAACATCGACGTTCCCTCCTGTTATATATAACTGCCTAAAACTAACCTAACCTAACCCTAATATAATATGACCCTAGCGTTTTTTGGCCAAAGATTCAATATAAATATATTATTTTAATAAAATTTGTCGACCATATCTAAATTTGCTAAAAAAAATAATTGTATAATTGCGCAACCTAACAACAATCAAGTGATTGTTCAAACGATTGATTGTATCGGTGTGCAGCGATCTACAAATTTCATCATATGCAAACCGCAATATGTAATAACTAACCAATCACATGAATTTGTTCTGTCCCAAAAAAAGATGGGCAAGGTACAGTAATATAAAAGGTTAAATCACACTATGCGACAATCTATTGATAATCTATACTCACGATAAATAACGTGATAAATTGCACATTGGGTTATGTGATTTTTTTACATAATTAGTAACTTTTTTGCCCCTAAAGCACTGTCTGTAGAATTTTCGTCTAATTACATTAAATTACATTAACAAAATTATTTTACTTACTTATAGCATTGGTAAGAACCTGAGAAGTATTTAAATCAGTCCCAATTTTGATAACAGCCGGTAAAAGAATTCTAAACAAAAAAATTAAGTTTAAATATTAAAAATAAAGATTGAAAAAAAAAATTAAGGATTCTCACGTGCTAGAAATAGGGGCGATAAATCCTGTCATGGCGATAATAAATAAGATGAAATTTTTTTTCTTCTTCGACCAATTTATTGGATCACTCGATGGAGTAGTATTTACAATCTCAACCGAATTTTCTGATTTAACGTATTCCGATGTTTCTGATTTTACGTATTCTGAAGGTTCATTTTTGCCAAATATCAACGAAGCTTCATATTCCACCGAAAGTTTGTTGCTGCTGTTATGTGATTGATTATTTTCAATATCCACCGAAAGTTTGTTTTTGCTGTTATGTGATTGATTATTTTCAATATCCACCGAAAGTTTGTTTTTTCTATTATGCGATTGATTATTTTCAATAGTAGCCATTAGATTTTTTTGATTCTGAAAAAATTTTAGTTATTAGAGAACTTATTCAGCTCTATAAATACCGTTTCATCCAAATAAAATTGATTACTTTTAATAAGGTCCGCCGTTCCCACATCAAGATCTTCAGGCCAGACCAGGTAGATTCTCTGTTTTACATTCCCCCTCTCCCCTCCGGAGGAGGGGGGGAGGGTGGTTTACATAGTAAAATTTAAAATAATTTTTTTCAAAAAAAAATTTTTCCGAATTGTTCGTGACTATATAAAAAATTTCCGAAATAGCCCGAAGCCCTATATATATTTATCTAAATTTTTTTACTATGAGGGAGAGGGGGACGCTGGGGGGTAATGTAAAACAGAGAATGGGGGTAATGTAAAACAGAGAATTTAATTGGTTGGCTTCATCTATTGTCTAAAGATCGTATTCCGCCAAAATCGTCTTTATGGCTTATTGTAGAAATTCGTACAATATTAAAATTATAGTGATATATAATGGTAATTTGAAAATAATATATAATTAATGCCATTATAGCGTGTTTATAAATTTAAAAAAAAATTGGACTGCCAATATATTATACTGATTTTTAACTGAGCTAATAATATTCTCAGTTTAGGATATAAATTTCTATATTTAATAAAGCGCGTCAAGATGGGTTATATAGTGGGAAAATAGGTTATACAGTCGTACGCCTCTATTTCCTAAACCGTTTCTCCTGCAAATCTGCCCTGAAATTTTTTAAAATTTTGTTTTTTTTTAACCAATATATCAGGATTCTGTGATCATAATTTAATGATTCTAGCACTATTCAATTCGTCTCGACAAGACGATTTGAATGACGTCAAAATCATCAAATTCTGAACACTAGCTCAAGAGATATCTGCAAAAAACAATTTGCAACGCAGCCCTACAAAAATTTAAGTTTTCTGCGCGGTAGCAAATAAATCACGATCTAGTGAACCGAATGTAACGATTTGATACCATTCGAACCGTCTCGTCGAGATGGATCGAATGGTGTCAAAATCATTAAATTCTGATAACACGATCATGATGTATTAACATTTAAATAGTATTTACCCTTAAACCGTTTCTCCAGCAAATTTGCCCTGAAATATTGAATTTTGATTGGCAACTCATGTATTAAGGTTTTTAAAAATCCCGATTTAGAAATTTATAAAATCTCGATTTTGCTCTATTTAGACATTCATAAATTTCTTGCATTGTACAGGAATTATAATCATCAGATCGATCATTCATTAAATTCTGATAACACGATCATGATATATTAACA